AACTAGAGTTTTGAAAGTTGGTTTCACTAGTAACTTGAATGGTTTGATATGTTCTAAAAACCTCCAAAATGTCTGGTGCATCAATTTGCGAGTTTACCTTGAATATAGACTACAATGCAAAGAACTTTTAATAAAACATAATAATAATCAATATATAATTTGCAAGAATAACTTTTTCAAAATGATCACAAACCTTTTTATTCTGAAGTCTCTCTTGAGCGCTTTCATAAGTTTTATCAATTTTTAACTGCTTCCAGAACTTTGTAATAGTGCTGGATTGTTTCTTGAACAAATGAATGAAAAAAGAATAGTTATTCCATATTATATTATACTGATAGTTTTTTTTAAAGTATTTTTAGTATTTATTTGCACGAGGAACAGCACATCATCACCAGGAATCCTTAGAAGAGCAGCACTTCTATAGGATTGTCTGCAAGACAACAGAGGAATGGCACCCCCCTGAGCTGCACATGTACTAAAATAAAAAAAAGATTATACTATACTTGATTTATGAGTAATGTTGCAATCTGCCGAGCTGTCTGGTCTGTTTCTGCATTATTAGTTGTGATTTTAAGTGCATTTATAAATCTTTTACGCCATATTGAGGATAGTTCATCTGTATTTTTATTTTCTCCCATAATGAGAGGTTCCATAACTTCTAAAAAATTATCAAATGACTATTTTGGACGTGGTATTTTTGAAGTATTCTGAAATAGAAACACCTACAAAAAAAAATTACAAAACATTGTTTTTACAACTATTTTTTTATATATATATAAAAATTAACTATTTTCTTTCAATAAAGACAATCCTTACCAACTATATTCATAAAAGTGAAATCATTCGAAACCAAGTTAAAATTTGATGCTTTGTCTGAAAGGAGTGTTAAATATTGAGTCGTGTAAACAATATTATGACGCGTCTGACATTTATTCAAGGGAGTTACACGGATTTTCGTCCACATGATGATTAATATTGCATTAATAGTAATAGTAATAGATTAATTACCAAACTTTAATCCTCCCTTATATGGATTAATACACTTGTAAACCTCAAAAAAACTTTCATATTATCATAATAATAAACTATCTTTACTTTTATACTATATAAACTCGAAATTTTAGAAATTTAATATATAGAATTAAAATAATTTTTTTTAAAGTTCTACTCTTTTGTCTGATAGATTAGATTTCCATTGAGTTCGTAAACTCTTCTCAGTAACAATTTTTCTTCTTAAACGACTTCCATTAGATATGTGGGAATTGTAATTCTATTGGTTCATGGTATGTAATTTTATTAATAATAGAAAATTAACCTATAACCTATTTATTTAACTCACTCTCTATTTAATGACATTTGGAATAGAAGAATGAAACATAACCACCGCAAAACTCTACATAAAGCAGGTGCTTCAATAATCACGCAATTAGGATTAACGTTATGTCTTTTTAAAAGCATTCTTTTATTTAAACTTGAAGGTAAATATATATATAATTTTTCAAACAATAGAATAAATTTATAAGCCTTTTTTCAATCTTCAACTCAAAGCGTTTTTTCTCACATAACTATGCTGAGTATCTAGTCATCAATTATCGTGGTTTATGATCTTGGTAAATCTGAACTTTCAATCACTCTTCCTTCTACATTTCTTTGGCAACTCATTCAATAACTTTTGTCAACATTTCCTGCTAAAAAACACTATTTTAAAATTATAATTATTCTTTTTGGTATAAGTCTACCACCACCCTTTTTCCATATTTTGGACTTCTTTTAGTGCCCAACCACCTACTAGTGAAAATTCAAATAATTTTAATGGACTGTGGCATGTAAATTATTTAATACTATCAATTATCAACAAAAAAACTTTGTCTAATCCTACTTTATTTCTTTTTTATGACGAGTCATACTCTGATTTCTCAAAGGCAAGCCTAAAATTAGGTTAGTAAGATTTTACATTGTTTAAAAATATCATTACCTTCTGAAAACATACAATTAAATTAATGAAAAATTTATCATATTCAGGAAAATTTTTGTAATAAATTTATTTTCCGCATCTAAAAAATAACTTTTCATTTATTGACATATTAATATTTTTCATATTCAGGCAATTAATTTATTTTCCGCATCTAAAAA